AAAGTCAGATGAACTTGATTTGTAAATGGACTTGGCTAGCATGATTCTGGGCACCTCAATGCCTGATTCTTCTTCTGTTAGCTTCATTGAAGTTCAAGGATAAAGGATCAATGAAGAAATTGGATTAAAAAGTGGAGAAAAGAGGAATTCGAAATCTCAGAAAAGTGAGTTATGGATGGAGTTTGACAGAGTTATTTTGGTTGTTCAAGCTTGCGAAAATGAGTGGAATGGATCATGTATTTATAGGAGAAGTGAATATGATCAAGAGGAGGGGTGAATGATGCAAATTCAAATAAATTTGCACACACTAATGTACATGAAAAAAGTGTGTTCACATGTGCATCAAAACTCATCCAAATGATGCATTTTGATGCTCTAAATGATTCAAACATATGTGCTAATCATGTTTAAGTGGAAAACGTGTGAAAATTTGGTGATAAAAACCAAATTATGAATTTCAAATTCTGACTTTGGAGAAAACTTCAGTTTCAAGGTAACAACTTTGAATCAATGGTATTCACAACTCAAGGAGTCTTAGGACATGATTCTTGAAGCAATTGAAAGATAAGGTCACAAACTTTACAATGTGAAAAGAGTGATATAAATTGGATGCTTGAGCTAAAAGTTATAATGAGTCAAAGATAAGAAAAAGATGTCGACTTTTTGTACTTCGAAAAATTCTAAGTTTTTCTTCAAAATTAACCTATAATGTTTTGATTTCAAACAAGGCCTTCCTCCAAAATTGAGCTTTGATCATTGATACTAGATTGAAGGGGACATCCTAAATAGAATTTTGCAACTTGAATCACTCAAAAATATCAAGTATTGAAAAAGTTATGGCCTTGTAAAATTGGTGAAAGTTCATGAGGTGACCTATAATCTTTTGGGTTGTTGGGTAATCTTCCACCCATTTTCAAGTCTTTCACATAAAAGAAGAGTTGAAGTTCACATCCTTAATATAATTATGGAAAACGAATGGGCTCAAGGAGATAAAAATTTACCAAGTTATGATCTTTTGAAGTCACATAAGGGAATTTGATGGCCTATCTAGAAGACTTGTAATCTTTCTCAATCATTAGGCCTCTTACACACAAAGTTTTCTTGAAACTTTTTAAGTGATTAGTTGATAACCCTTTAAAGAGAATCATGTCTTTGGAATCACTCAAAAATACCAATAGATGAGTAAGATATAGCCCTTAGAAGTTTAAAACCCTAATCCTTAAAGCACCAAAATGACTTGGAAACCCCTTTCAATTTTGACAAAATTTCTTGCGCAGTAACTTTTTCCATCACTACAAGAAAATTGGCAGATTGCGACAGGTATTTTTGTAGATTACGACGGTTAAAACCGTCGCAATTTGCTTTCCACGACGGTTGCTTTACCGTCGCAGAAGTGTGTGTCCCCAACCTATTTCGCGACGGTTACAAAAACTGTCGTTCAAGTTTACGACGGGTTGATACCGTCGTGACTATCTTTTGAGTTTCTTTTAATTATTGATGGCGACGGTTCGATACTGTCGTGAATATCTTTTGAAATTGATTAAATTGTTTATGGCGACGGTTCGATACCGTCATGACTTTTGTTGATTACGACGGTTCGGTACTGTCGCCATGACTTTTGTTTATGTCTTGATTTTTTTTATTTTTCTCTTATATATATTTTTTATTTAAATTATTATCTATGTAAAAAATTTTAAATATAGTTTTTTTTTGTGTTATTTTTTTCTTTAAATTATTTCTTCTTTAATATATTTATTTATAGTATTATTTTTTGTTTTATTTTCTATCACTTTGTAATATAGTAAAAATAATTTCAATAAAAAATATTTAACATCAAATAAGCATTATAATATCCAAAAAAATGTGTGTTCCATAATCATGTAAAATGCGAGTTCCATAATCATGTCAAGTAGTACAAAAAACCCAAAATATATCAATTCCTAATCTTATAATAATAAGTATCATTATGCCAAAAATACATGAGAAAGTTCACAATCTAATTATCTCGATCATAGCAAAGTCTAATTTGTCCCCCATGAAGTTCCATTATCTCCAATACGATAGCTAGACTCAGATGAACGTCTACCATCAGCGGGTGATTCCAATCCCTAAAAAAAGGTATTAAAATAATAATCTTTAAAATAATACTCATAAAATTTAACTTTAAATGCGTCAAATTAATATACCTGTCTTCCATTGGAATAGAGTTAGCAGTACCTCATGTAAAGGAAGGTTCAACCCAAGTTCAGACGAAGTTGATCGCAAATTGGCAAATCGTCGTAAATCCCTTTCGACTATACATGGAAGGATATATCCATCTATTTCATGAACCAACAATCAGCATTTCAAACAACTTCCAATTTTTCATCCAAGAGGTAGCATATACCAATTCTTGACTAAGACTAATGACATGACTCAGAGCACAAATTCTTGAGTTACAAGAATAAGCATTTGAAATTAGATAAAGTACCTGTTCTCTCCGAAGGCCATTCGAAGTATACAACGCATATATGATGGAGCTTAGTACGTTGAAATGGATACTGAGAATGAGCCCTACAGAAATTTTTGCAAATTCTTATTTTAAGTGCGTATCTAATTAGTAACCAGATTCAGAACTATAGCAGATAAACTTTACCATTAACATATAGCTTTCGTAGGTTCTGATTAGTATATTCTAAATTCCAATCAATATTGAGTATAGTAAAGGAACTGGAAGCAATGAATTAAATAACATACTTGAGCACAAAGTCTGAATCAGCTGAGTGGCATTTTGGCTTCAAATAAGCATCAATCACTTGTAAAATGGTATCGTCCTTTCCTATATTATTTTTAGCTCCTGCATAAACAAAAAAGATAGAAAAAATGATTAAAAAAAGTTGCAAAATGGAACTAAAATGCAATATAGATATGACAAGGGTATATATACCTTTTCTTTTTTTCACCCATCCAAGTCCTTCAGAAGCAAATTTTTTTAGAACATCTTTCTCCCCAATTGATTTTACTATCTGACAAGCTAACTCCTACAATACAACCATGGAAACAATCATGCAAAAGCAAAAGCAACCATATAATATGTAAATATTCAACCCTGCTAAACAACAAGAGGTGAAAAGGCAAAAAGTAATATGATCATGAAGGATGTGTTTAAGGACTTACCGGACCTAAACCATGAACTCCTTGATGATAGTCACTGCCGAGAAGCAAAGAGAGAGCAATCTGAAGATCATGGGTTACTCGGTTACTGATTTTCACCAGAACAAGAACTCAATACCCTTGAATTTTGAATTGACAAGAAACAACGAAAGATCGTCTAAGAAAGCATTGTGACTCTTATGTTAAAACATCAATCAGAAATTTACCAATGAATCCCGTCCCAATCCAAGTTTATTTTCAATCTCTGCCATCTCATAACATACAACATATCCACCATCTCCTAACTCATTAATAAAAAAAAATTCTTGTAAGTCATATGAAAGTACAAAAAAATCCTTAGAACTTATACGAAAAATACAATTAGCACAAAAATATATTCAACAATAATATTTAAAAACGAAACCAAATGATATACTCACCAAGGCAGATTTCCCTGTATAAATCCTTACAACCATGATGGCCCAAAATATTTATTGCCCTCTCTAGTGGTAGACACCCCATAGGAATCAACCCTGTCATAGAAATTTTCCTTGCTCCAAGGTCATAAATTTCCCTTAGAAAATTTTCAGTAAGTCCAATTAAAAAATCCTCATATTCTTGAACACTAAATTGCAACCTCCTTTCAAGACGTTGGTAATAATTTTCAAGAAAATCATTTGTTCCTATGCTAATCAAATATAAAGACTCGTTTATTATTTCATTAGCTTTCTTGTTTCCAAATTTTGCTCTTAATCTGTTTTGATATTCTTTGTAATACTCAACTTCTTTCCATAAAGGTATCACATCCTGAAAAATACGTATACCATAAAAGTAAGCTTAGTATGAATTAGAAAAAAAGTTAATAGTATGATGCATGAAAATATGATTGAATGTTGAATGTAATAAATTAATTAGTTGAGAACTTACGGCAACACTTGCAGTAATGTTATCAAATCCAGTACCAGCAGAGGCAAAACAAACACCAGTAGCAAAATCAGTAATGTCATAAGAATGATCCAAATAAGCAGGAACAATTGGCTTAAGTCCAAACGCCTCGGAGATGAAATCAGGAGCTAATCTACCATTTGAGAATCTACCAGTTGGATTTCCATTAGGAAAATCTCTACCATAAGGTTCAAAGTTGCTTCTTGCTATTGTTGGAATGAAATTGTTGTTACCAGAATCAACAGATGAGTCTCCAAAAACTATTAGAGCTGGAACTTTTCCACTGCTTGAGGATGAAACATGCAGCAAAATTTGAATGGAAAAGAACCATATGAGGTGGATTTTCATCATTTTTCACCTGGTCTCAACAATTTGAGGTGTCTGTGATGCTAGTGAGGGGATAAAGAGGTTGTTTGTAAGAGACTCAGGATAAGAGCCTATTTATGGGACAATTTAGTAACGGTTTAAAGCAAAACACCATCAAACTGTAACTTCTATTAAATATTACCCATTCAAACAAGAGACGCCGAGAGCCATCCCCAAGGCTTTAGCCTCTTTAATCATACATGAAAACTCAGACCCCAAATTTCAATTCCAACCTCTTCCTTTATTATTCTTTCCTTGTGTGTCCCTTCATCTTCTTTATCTAATCATATCATCATGGACAGAAACAATTGTCGCAGACAAGTTGCTGCAATGAAACAGTCACTGTTTGATCAGGTATATATATAGAATGTTATTAGACTCTTGTAGTCTTGATTAATATTGATGGCTAGCTAGTTAGTTACCTAAGTAATAATGAAATATGCAGGGGCTTCTTGATGAACAATTTATCCAACTTGAAGAATTGCAAGATGATGCTAATCCTAATTTTGTTGAGGAAATTGTCACTCTCTACTACCGCGATTCATCTAGGCTTATCTCTAACTTGGAATTCCTGTTGTATTAGGTGCTAATTCAAAGTTTGTGAATACATATGAAGCTGATTGTGTAGTTAGTGCCACTAGAGGTAACATTATAACTATCACTGCTCCACCAATAACCTGTCACAGTAAAAATGATTATTAGTAAATTGTGATGTACATTTTAGAGTCAAGATACAACGCATTCACTGTAATCAGTAAGTTGGAATAGTTAGATAAAGAAGCAAAAGTACCTGCCACCATATTGAAATTATATCGATGAAGGCGATAACTTCTAACGCAAATGTGTTCAATGCTGCCCAAATAACAGTGAGGCCAATGTACATACATAAGAATAGCCATTTCGGGGCAAAGTACCCTCCGCCTTTATTCGTGCCTGTCGAGAGTAGGATTATACTCTGCAATGTTTGTGATCCTGCATACGCCTTTCCGAATTCCAACCATGAAAAGTATGAGTTACGATGCACACATTCTATGAAAACACCGAGTCGAAGTTTAACCGAATTAGTCCTTTTACCTGAGTCCCTATCCCAGCAATAAGACCTATGGTTTCAAGCCAAGCACAGCACCATGAAGAAAATGGTCCCCATTTTGGACCGGCTAAATGTGCAGCCCAAAAGTACAGAGAACCCTTTCTCTTCATCTTCATTCTAAGCACATCACATTCCATTCTAAGCATAGCAGGATCAATAGACCATTATTGTCATGTTCAGAGGATACTCACAACATATACTATGCAAACAGAATATAGATTCATTACATTTCCAGTATAATGGTCAAAATGAAAAGAATACACCATTCAAGCAAACCATACAACAGCATGAGCAACATCATCCAACCTTGTCATTCAAAACCAAATGCAAACACCACATAATACCAAGTGCAAAAGATATATGTTTTGCTAATAATAACGATAATAATATCCAATGAAACATATAATATAGATAGCTATCGATTCCACCCTAGAATTCCTGAACTAATGAAAACACAGTGTATAAATCTTGCTAAGAACTAAAACATGTCAATGAAAGCTGACATGTGGGAGAGATCCTTGTACAGATGGTTAAATCTTCTAACACTTTGGTCTTCTGCGCTTGATTTAAGTATCTTTCAACATAGATAGTGATATCCTCTAAAAATCTCGCATTCTTCAAAATATATGTTGCAAATTGAAAATCATCATCTCCCGCAACTCCATAGATTTCCATACGACATTTTTTTAGTTGAGATGAAATACACCGAGGAACATTATATGGGTATTTCCAATCATTGTTGGTGGTTAATGTCTGTCAATCAAAGACGCAATAGAATTTGTAAATATACTTAAATACAAGAGAAAGTAAAAAACAAAAACAAGTAATTATCATATGAAGGAAAAAAAAAACCATTGAAATGGAAAAATCTTGAAGGTTAGGACAATTCTGGAGTAGTCTCAATAGGTCACTCCAGTCAAGAATCCCTCCATTAAGTTCCAGTTGAATTAAGTTTTGAAAGGCCTTATCATATGATTTGATGCCTTGATAGGGAAGATCATCATACCCCACCTGTACACAGTAAAAAATATACAGTATTATAAAAACAACAAAATCAAACAACAGACACATTATTGATGATGAATCAAAACAGTTATCATACCCATAATAGAGTTAAAAACTTGGCATTATAAAGTGCTGTTAACGGAAGCTCATCCAAAGAGACATCAGCGCTGATCAAATTGGATAGTAATAAGGGTTCTTCAGACTCAGAGTATCCTTCCCAACATCCACCAACATCTGTAGTAACCAAATGCTCCAATTTCAAATTTAGATCAAGATGTCGAAACTTGGAAAGAATAAAAACCATTTCTCTTCTTAGTTCTTGCTTGTAACCATAGTGGTGGGAACTAGGGTTTTAAAAAGGTCTGCCACCTGCCACTGCAATTTCAATTGTGACAGCAAGGTTTTTGATATATGGACTGCAGTGTGCCTCAATTCATGACTATAACCGCAATGAAAAACCAAACTCAATAAATAAATAAATAAAAATTTGAAAAGTGAGGAAAAGATGATTACCGTGATAATCAACCAGCAGGATTAAGAGCCATCATCATGTTGTTTCCACCAGGAAGATAAGTAACATTAGGCGATTTCTCAAGCGTTCCAGCAACTTCCCTGGAAGCTTCAATCCTCCTAAGCTCAACCAACCCCATCCCAGCCGCAGCAGTAGCCTCGGAAATCAATATAGCAGCGTCACTCTCTCGTCGTATTCGAGACCGAGGTTTTGAACGATGACAGGGAGTTTCGCGGTGTCGGGACGAGAGAGGACTCGGAGAGTTAGGTTAACCATTTGAAGATCTTTGGTGCCAGATATTGATGAGAAAGTATGGGGGCGGGTTTTGATATCGAAGATGTAGGGTTTTTGAACCCATGGGATGAGGAAATGGGTTCCCTCGCCGATTGATTCGTCGAGGATGCCGCGGAAACAGAACTTGTTCAAGGAATTCCAATATACTGTTAAAGAAACATTCTAATCGATGTTTTATGAGCTTTTTAACTTTTTTACTGCGACGGGTGTTTTACCGTCGTGCCCATGAGAATTTTTAAAGGTTTTGGGTGCGACGGTTGTTTTACCGTCGTGAAATGAATTTTAGGACGGATAATTTTACCGTCGTGAAAGGTTTAAGGGTGCGACGGGTGCTTTACCGTCGTGATATGCCTTTTAGGACGGTTAATTTTACCGTCGTGACTAGTTGTTGGTGAAAAATCAATGTTAAAAGTGTTAAATGGGGGCCGACGGTTGTTTTACCGTCGTAATAATAATATTATGATGGTTAAATATACCGTTGCAAAATAAATATTAGGGACGGTTGGTGTCAACTGTCGTAAACACTGTCTCTATATGTCAATTACGACAGTTATCACATAACTGTCGCAATTTTTGTGTCGTTAAACACTAATTTTCTTGTAGTGCATGTGAATGGATATTGTTGAGGATGATAATAAGAAACCATAGCAACAAAAACCACTTCCAAATGTTAATAATTGAGAGAGTTGTGCACTTGTGATCAAAGAATCAATAAATTGTCCAATTAGGTCAAACTTTCTTCAATCAACCCTTGCATCTTTTAACTTCCCTTGACAAATTGAGGCATGATGAATCATAGTAGGCATTATAATGATGCAATTTAAAGCATACTCAATGATGGAGCTTGAATATTAATGAAGAAATTGTTGAAGAAGGCATGGAAATAAACTCATGAACCTATGAATAAACTTGATGAAATATGTTGTGCCCTCACCTATAGGATCATCAATTAAAGAATACACTCATTGTATTTATTAGTTAAAAGTTAATCAATACAAAACAAACATGATCACAATATACAAATCAAGGTGCTTGGTGATTCCTCATGAGCAAAACCTAGAGATAGGGATAATAGCCAAACCCAATTGTGATCTTGGTATGATTGAGTTTATATGAGATGATATTGGGATCTTAGGGGGAAAATTGGGGTACAATAGTCCCGAACATATGAAATAGAGAGGATGTAAAGACGGTTCTAACGCCCAAAGACCCACTAAAAATAATTGGTCAGTTTTCACAAAAAAATTCATAACTGGAGATAAGGAAATTGGACCGACGCATTATATTATTCGTTGGAAAGATGAGAGAAAGAGATACAACTTTCATGTTGAAGTCAGAAGTTGATTCTGACTTTAGAAGCCTCAAAAAATTCAATAGTTATTTCGGGTCGCTTTACGGGTCTGATTTATGTTTCCGACCCAGTTTGAGTTAGTAGTGAAAACCCTTATTTGGTTTATAAGACTTTTTCTCGCACGAATAATTGAGGATTGGAGAGAGAAATGTATGATATTCTCGGAGGACAGATATTTTTCATGAGCCATAGCGATTGAAGATCAAAGTTCATCATTTACCTGTAATGTTTTATCTTCATATCATTGAAATTCTTTTGAATAATGTGAGTAGTTAAACCCTCTAATGCTAGGGGTGTCCATGATTTGAATCTGTAATGATTATGAATTCCTGAGTTCTTTAATAAAGTCTTCTCTATTTGATTTAATTGTACAATGTTTTTATGCCTTCCTGATCGGACAAATTAGGATTGATTTACGGTTAACAACCAACTAGATCGCGGTTGTTAAGGTTTTTGTATAATTAGACTATAGTAGATATCACCTAGGACTAAATATACCCTATAGTTACCGGATTTAACCCTTGATAAAATAAAGGCTTGACTCTATCAGATATCTCTAAGGACTTAGGATTTAGGATGAATGGTTAAAGGTTTTACCACTAAGGACTTAGGGGAAATAATCTAAAGGGCTGGTAATTGAAGGATATGAACTTGTTGAAGAGATCAGGATTCAAGATAGTTACAGGGAAAATTATACACCTTACCCTATCATGCTCCTCATTGTAATACCCCAAATTTGTCCTACCCTCTCACTTTTATCTGGCTTATGTCTCGCACTTTTCTCATGTATATAACTTCCATTAAATCATCTAACATATCATGCTTCATTAATCAATAAAATTGGCATCAGGATCAAGGGCTTGTCAATTAGGGTTTATCCCCTCTTTTGAGGCTCTCGTCTACATTCAAGGGCAATTCAAGTTGTTTCCTTGACGATCATGACAATTAAGGTTTTCTTCAAAAGCTTCATTCAAAAGATCTCATACATAGAGATAGGATCCCAACTGATCTATTTTTTTCGATTTAATGTTGGTGTTCATTACTTGGGTCATAAGGCGTATAGAGATGGTTTCGTAAGAAAAATACACTTGGATTTCGTCAAGTAAAGTTTGTGGGTATATTCAGGCATAGTATTCCATGCGATCATTTGGCTTTCTTACGCGACATGTTACTTTCACTCAACTATCTCAAGCTAAAATTTTAGAGTTTGCTTATGAGATAATGGGTGGATCAAAGTGGTAGAATGTGTGGGTCAATCACACGCTTGAAGTCATCAAAACACAGAGGATACTTTAATACCTTTGATTCCATTTACAAAAAAGTAAAACATTGAAAATACATAAATAGAAATTGGTTCAAAGTTTAATTTTGATAAGAACACATGTTATGAGAAGCTTCCATTACAAAGACCATTCAAAACTTGTTACATTCTATTACGAATATTACAAAGAAAGTATTCCTATTACAAAGTATCATCCTTTACATTACACCATCTAATCCCATCATATTTCAAAATTCAAAATCCTATACAAGTACACAAAGTCATCTTTCAAACCGACCAAACTCTATTTAGACTTGGCCTTTCATCCTCGCACCATCAAATTCCAAACCTGCAATCAAGAAAAGAGACCAAAATAGTGGCACTTGAGTAAAAAATAAAAGCTACCAAATTCATTTAAGAGCATATCTAAATGGTTGATCTTCAAAATCATGCTATGAAAACCAGTTCATTATTTCCAAAATAGAAAAACTGATAAAGCCTGTAAACAACCTTACAAAACAGCCTCTTAACTGTAAATACAGAAATAATAAAACAAAATTTCAACAACCTCCAACCCTCTAACCATTTTTCCAAATTCCAGATTTAACCAAACCTTTTACCAACAAAAAATCAGATTTCCGATAACTAACTATTTTCAGTTAAATTCCTATATACCTCCAAATTTTTATTCTTCCTGACTGTTAACCTATAACATTAATAGATAGCCTAAATATCATCCTAACATTTGGCATAACTAATTTCCAAACTGATTTTTAACAATATCCTAACAGTTTCTAACCATCTAAAACCTCTAACCAACTATCATAACAGAATTAATTCCCTAACCTTATTAACAAGTCTTTCAACTAACCTTCCCTAACTTTCTAATAACCATCTAACAGATTTACAACTACACCTAACAAATTACATAACCAAATTCTAACAGAACTTCATAACAAACCTTTAACCAACTTTCTACACAACTAAAAAACTTCATAGATTCACAACAGAAGAGATAACAAATAACAAAAAGAAAAAATTCATCTTCAGATTCATTCATCATTCTCTGATCAGACACCAAAAAATACCTTGGCACCATCATCATCATCCACAACCTTCCCTCTCTGTAGCTCACTCAATAAACTTCCAGTAGGTAACAGAATAACAAAAAAGCAGAAAAGGAAAAAGGAGAATCATCAACAAGAAAAAAACTCAGAGAAAAAACTATCTCACCTCTGGATCCTAATCACCATCATCCAACCTTCACTGATTCTCCAATCATCACCTTCATCGCGGATCCAATCTTCAATTTCCATTTTCAACGGCCTTTGTTCCCCTACAAGTATTCATCAACAAATATGCAAAGGCAATAGTGCATCAACAATAGTTTAAATCGCAGATGAAGAAGAAGTGATCTAAGCGGATAAGAAGAAGAAAGTAGAAGGAATTAATACCTGATCAAGCGAAGGAATCTGTTCTCTAGTTTTCGTTTTATTTCTTTCAAGAGCTTCATAGTCACTGAGGGCGATGAAGATGATGACCTATTCGGTTGGTGTTGCGATTCCGTTTATCGTATGCTAGGGTTTGGAACCGAAACGAAGTTCGGAGAAGAAGCGACAACGGAGATGACACAGTTATGCTGTGTTGATCGCTGGTGGCGAAATCATCATGGAAAACAAATAGGAAGATCGAGTTGGGCGCCGCCGCTGAGTCGCGAAAGAGAAGAGGAGAAGAAGTCATGTTTCACGAAGACCCTGAACCCTATATCCTTCCTAAACGCATAGTTTGTGAATTTCTTATTTCTTTTTATTTTATTTTATTTTTATTTGTTTTTTAATCAATAAACCAATAAACAAATACTGAATGAAGAGATTTTCAAGGCTGAATGAGAAGTAAGGGTTTGGGCCGAATTTTCTTTGATTAGGACCATTCCTTGCATTTTTTTATATTGAAGTACATACAAAAAAGGGGGATTTATGGATTCTGTGATGAGCCTAGTGCCCTGCTACTGCATACCTCTGGACCTAGGCCGTACACCCCCTGTTTCTTTCTATTTCCTTTGTTAGATTTAGATTTTTTCCTTTTAATTTTTATATGATAAAATTGTAATAAAATCAATAAAATTTATTAGTTGTTCTTAATTGATTTTAGGAATTAACTCTTTAGTTTTCGATAGAATTTTCCGCACATAAAAATTTGTTAGTTGTTCTTAATTTGACGCGTTTGTTCATTGTGTAAGGTACGTTCTTTTTGCTTTCGATTATGTAACATAACAGGTAGTTATGTGATCGAAGCATACGACTTATGCTCGCTTCTGATGCGACACGCCTTATTTCTCATCGTCCTGAGGAATTCATATCTTATTATATGTTGTCCTGATACATGCGATACTTTATGAGATTTGTGTAGGAACTTCTAATTATGAATTGCATTTGCAACATGTGTTTTCCTTTATCTTAGTGGGATATTATTTATGAATTTGTTTGTTTCTTGGTGAAGCTTGCTCGACGCGTACTCCCTGCTTCTCCATTGCTTTGGTCTGATCTTGACGATTTTCTCACTTTGGTAGTCGCCGCCACTACCTTCATAATTCTTCATACTTTACTACATTTCTTTACGGCTTTTTCTAGATATCATGAGAAACCGGGCTTTACTGCAAACTATGCATGATAACATTAGGTAGAATTCCCTCAACATTCTAACTTTAGGTCTAACAATGCATGATAAAATTATGTTTAGAAATAGGCTAGTCTCCCTGTGACTTTTCTTCCCCTTTTGCATTTGCACTAAAACTAAAGCTTCTTTTTCTTTAAAACTTCAAAAAAACTTTAAAACTACTAATGAGAATCATGCCTTTGCTCACTATGGGAAATGATAAGCGGGTCTCTTCTCGATCTTATTGTTCTTCCATCTCAAGCCTAGGTGTCGGTCAAGTCTCAAAGATTCATTTCATGGATAAGTAGAAAAGTGGCTAATATTTCTCTCTTAAGGGTCAACTAGTCATTATCTACAACAAAAATACAAACCAACTCAAACTATTTTGTGCGCTCGAGCACCTTTCTCTAAAACCCTTTTCAGGTAAGGACATGATTAATTTACTTTTGTGCCAATGCATAAGTCTCCAAAGGTCGAGTTGCGGCAGAAGGCGGAATTAACTTCGTCCAAAAAAAACACAAACAAACAAAAACATGCCATCCGAACTACGGTAGCTCTGATTCCTCAAAAAGGATATGTAGGCATTGGGGTAGGGCCCAAGCGAGCACAATTTTATTTTCCCTACATTCTTTCCCCCTTCCTTTTGCATGCATTCTCCCTTTAGAAGTGGTATAGTAGACAGTAAGCATATATTAGACACACCCATAAGATAGACAATAAGAGTGGATACCATAGAGTACTATGGGTGTGTGGGGTGCTAATACCTTCCCCTCGCGTAACAGACTCCCTTACCCGATCTCTCGGTCGCAATACCGTAACTTCTCCCTTCTCAGGTTTTCTCGATGTTTACCTTTCCCTTCATGTGGGATAAAAGACGTTCGATGGCGACTTTATTGTTTGATGATTTTCAGCTGGTTGTTTCAGCTGGCGACTTCACTGGGGACAAGTCAACCAAATGCTGGTCCATCCCGGAGTCGCTCCTAGCTCTTCTTTCTTTTCTTTGGGTGTTTATCTTTTATGCTTTCAGTTTATTCATTCATTTTGTATATACCTGAGCATATGTGTGCATTGCATTTTACTGTCTTCCATATACTATTGTTGTGCTGGATCTGCTTCTTATAGGGTTGGGATGCTACTATTGAGGTAAAAGGCCCAGTACCCAGGCCAGAGTGCAATAGGATACCTAGGAATAAAGTGGGGGCATGACGGCTATAGGACGTGGTCCGACTAGTGCATTCATGTCATATACCATACTCGAATGAGGTTCAATCAGAGGTATTTTTTATCATGCACGTCTGTGTTGCGATGATTGTTATTTCAAGCGAACCCGTGATTTTCGAGTTACCCTTGCCTTACCCTGACCTAGTCTTCACCCGTGATTGGGAAGGGAATTATTATCACATGTACAGATGGTGAACTATGCTCAGAAGGTGACTATGTTCAGATGGTTACTCATGCTCAGATGATGACTACGCTCAGACGGTGACTTTTGGTTCTATTGGTTATGTTCTGGATTTATGTTGATAACTTTATGCATATGCTAATTCTGTTGGTGACTGTATGGTTCTCAGATTTATTTTCTTAGTTCCTGGCTTGTTTACCTGGAGGTTCGTTCGAGCCTTTGATCTTGGTATTCTCAGCATGTTCATAAAATTATCAACAGTATCCGTTGTTCCAGAAGCCTCGATCCTGTACAATGGGAGATCTACATGGTACTCGGTTCTTATATATGTGGAAGCTATGTTGGGCCTTTGATCTGATGATACTCATATGGTTCAGAACAGTGCAACAATCATATTCAGAAATGATGGAACCTTGATCCCATTTGATCTCATGCCTTTGCATATATAACATGGTTAACCACATGCTTAACATACATGTTTGTATTATTTCCAAGGAATCATATTTGCAAGTCTTGTGCTAAACTCTTCCATCCCTTACTTGCGCAGAATCAAAATCAAAGCACGTAAATTCCTTGGAAATGACAGAACATGACATGGAATTCATTCATGCTCCCCATGCATATTCATGCATTCATAAAAGGTGCCCGAAGATTGGGGATTATTATTCAGGCATGATATTCTCTTCAAAGGTTCAACTTGATTTCTCACGGCACATGTTCAGGGATCAGTTATGGAATAACTCTGTGTGGTACATGCAATCTTTGTCCCGTGGTCGGGAATTCTTCGAACAAGAAGATAATTGATTGAAAACTCAGATAAGCCAGGTCATGGAAACTCTGATAATGATGTCAACAATCTTGCACTTATTGCTGCAGTAGGTTCCCTCTTCTCCTCATGTTTTAGGGAACGCTTTCGATCAGGGAGCGCTACGCAACCTTGATTTCTTGGAACATCTTATTAGCAGATGGTTCCCATTTACTATGAGATCTTATATCAGTGCTCCATCCTTGTTGACCAATGTCAGATGTGGTTGCTACACCGGGGAATCCGACTATTCAATCAGGGGCACTCTCCACAGCTTTGTGTTCCCTGATCTGTTCAACAGTAATCAATCTTCATTCCCTTAGTGAATTAAAAAAAAAGATTTTAAGCCAAGACAAAAGAAGCCAGGTGAGCATGGTGATGTGACCCCAGCGCACTACATCCAGTTATTTCCTCTCCTGGTGGAAGTTCAATTTGTAAAGCTCTGGTCTTTGGGGTCCTGTTCCCACAAACATCTCTTCAGATTGCAATACACATGCTAGATGTATCACTTATTCTGAGGCACCCAGTTATGATATCGAAGACTGTAAAGGGGTTGAAGTATAAATCCCAGCACCTTTCTGGCGTCTCTTCCAAAGGTCCAATCCCTATTTGTCCAACTTCCAGGATCTTTCTCATGAGTCAGAAGTCTCTGTTGCTCTGAGAGAAGACGAATTGTATTATTTATTTGAGGTACGATATATTTGGTGATGCAGTTTGTACCGATTCGCTGGGTAAATCGTTCATTCGTTCTCCTGGAAGAATCTTCTATGCATATTATTCTGGGGCACCTGGTCGTTCGATTGAAGGTAATGTGTCATCCAGAGACCAAATCCAAGACTGGATCAATTCAGAGACTGTGGTGCTCACATCAGATCAAAAGGGGAATTCTCTCACCCATTTAAGCATCAGGGCTACAGAAAGTCGTTAGAATTAAGAAGTCCATACAGAGTCAAGTCTTCTCAATGATGGCAACCGTTGGTTTCTTTACTGCATCTTCATTCACATTCTTACTTGTTTGTTTAAACATTGCTTGTATATAGAAAGTTGTCTATTTTGGAATGAAAATCTTAATGCAATAAGTATGCTTGTCTTGAAGTGTTCTTTTTCATTCATTCGTTATCACTTTTTAAATGTTTTATTTGCATATTGATGCCAAATTTCCTAGTCTTATGCTTAGGTAAAGATTGGAAGGAGGATAACGACAATCTAAAACGCAAAAATCTCTGGTTGGTATGCTTTTGAGTAAGACCCTGCTGACAATGTACAAGCCTTGTTTCAATTCCTAAACACCAGAGATATAAGGGAGATAGACCCTCGTTAACCCCTCTGAGCCTTCGAAGTAGGAGTTTCTTTTCTGTTCAGAGAAAATCTTCATTTTAACCCGGGGTAGGGTAGATTTCAGTTAATCTGATCAAGCATTCAGAACTCATCAAGAGTGCACATCTGAGGGTACAACATCGGTTATCCTTCAAAAGGTTGAGGAAAGTCAAAACCACAATGGTTAACCCTCATCTAATGACAACATGCGTCTATTGAAAATATCCCAATGGGTATCTCTTACACATCAGGGGGTCAAGAGATGACGATACAATAATGATTATCCCCCATTTACTAAAGACTCGGATAGTCACGATCACTTCCGAAAAATCAAAGAAAATGCGAAGGTAAACGACTTGTTCAGAAAATAAAATACGAATAAGAAAGAAACATAAATCCCCGCTAAGTCGAAACTTGAAAACAAGTCACTTAGGCAAAAGTTGGGGCATCCCGCTGGACTTCCTAATCGAAATTCAAAAGAATTTGTCCAGGCAAAAATTAGGGACGACAAGAAAGAAGCTGAAAAGCCTAAAAGGGCGAGAAAAGGATTACCAATGAAAA